CAGGACCCCAGCATGAGAAACAAGATACAAAACAGACCTGAAATCGATTTCTGCAAGAGGCGTAAAATCCTGTAAGAATGGGATGGAGGTGGAAGATGTGCTCTGAGTGGAAACAACTTCAAATATTTTTTTTCATTAGTTTTCTCTCATTCACTTCGAAAGGCTAACAAAAACACTTTTAATAGTCCATAGCTGAGTGTCCTTGGGGTACTGGATAAGGATTTGTCCCTGGGAATACACAAGCACATTAGTATTTCTACAGTGATGGCAAGGTTTGGGTACAGGACTGGGTGTTTCTTTCTGTGGAAAAAAATTCTGAACACCCTAAAAATCTACTTGGTTTGCACATTCAAAACAAAATATATCTTTGAATGTGGAACCAGACAGTGGCAAGAAGTTTCCTCTTTAAACAGAATACTCTTTCAATAGAATATTCATTTCAATTATCTCTTCCTACCTCAAGATAATTCACATTGATAATAATGCAGTGATAATCTCTTTTTTCTTATRCCTACATACAGAGAGGTACTGCTCATGGTAATCTTTGGGCCCAAGTGATGAACTGTATTTTCTCTTTGCGTGCTTGKAAATTACTGTATTGGGACAAAAATTTTGAGAGGCCCACAAAAAAMCAGTGAAGGTGTCCTTGAGAAAATTAAATCACTCACTCTCCAATTCACCTTCCAGAATTCGTTGGCTTATTGGGAATGCCAATGAGAACCTGGAGAGCTGGTTGCCTCACAAACAGGCCTGGGAAAAAGCAAGGAATTAGATCTGGTTTTGAGTGATGATTTGCTAGATCTGACCTGAAAATTGTCCATGGTTTCCCCGATACAAAGTGGTGGCATCAGCTGCAGCTCCAGAATCGTGGTTAGGCTGTGATTTGTGCATTAAAGGAGGAGCAGACGTACTTTGTTTTATAATATTTAACCAGAGATTGAGAACAGTCCTCTGAGGCCAAGAACGTATTGATTCTGGTAAGCTTTTTACTGTCTTGTTTTGAAATTTTTCCAAGAGTCAGACTCCTGGGAGAAGAGACAGATCCAGAATCTCCCCCACAGATCTCAAGCCATATACACAACGATCTCATTCTACTGCTTTTTAAACAGAAACAACCAAAGGGTTCTTCTTGTCCCCGTGATTAGGTTACCCAAAGGAAAGGCAGCAGGTACCTCCCATGTTCATTAGCACTTTCCTCTCAGCTCAGTCCTGGACATTGGCTGTGTTAATGTGACACACACACTTCATCGTTCACTTGATTTGCACAACAGCTGTTTTGTGACAGTTCTTTTCACTGCACTGATTTTATTTTATAGGGAATCACTTGGAGTGGTCATGTGAGTGGGATACTCTTAAATCACAGCTGCAGTGAGTCACATCATGCTTCTTTCACTTTCTGAGGCTGAGACCACCTCAGAATTTTCCCCCTATGATATAGATTGTATTCCTGTGGCCACCCATGCAGACCTCATCTGTTTGAGTTATTAACATTTGGGTTGCTCCAACATAGGTGCCCTTATCAGGTTCTCTGTTAATTTTCTCAAAAGAAAATTGGAAAAGGTTTTGGGACAGTCTTTCCTGATAGGATTGCATTTGCATTTTCATAGGCACATCTCATTCCTGGCTTATAGAGATCCTCAATTAAGACAGCCAGGCCTTTTTGTGTCCCTCTCATTTCCAGCTGGTGTCCTCCCCAAAGGTCCATCCAAAGAAGAAACACCTTTCATTAGTCCCCATACACATGACCCGGCAAGCTGGGCAATCATATTCCATCCCATTATATTATTCTAGTCTGATTGTTCCAAAGTACCAATTCAGGCTTCCTCCACTCTGGCAAAGCTTTTCATCTGTGTTTCACCAGCAAAGACCCACTCTCCATGCCAAGATCATTATGGGAAATATCAAATGTGATCAGTCCCCAGAATGATCCTTCAAAAAACTTCACTCCAACTCAATTAGCTCSTCTTCCAGCACAATTTGTCTCATCAGTTACTTCATCCACCTGTAATTCACCCATTCATTGTCTCTGGCTTACTTTCTCATGTCCCACACAGCCTCAAACCATTTTTTGCAGCATTTTGCTGCAATTCAGGTAGATTAGTTCCACTGAATGTCTCTGGTTTAGAGCCAAATGTGGCTGRACAGATCTCACTACCCTGCAACGTTCACCTCCAGTAAACCCTGTTACCTTTTTGTAATATTTTCTTATTTATCTCCACATCTTTTAATGATCCTTTCCTTCARATTTGCCCTAATGTTTTCCATCCCTTCAAGGTCAGAGYGACACCYTGCTCCYTTCCCTCTCCCTGCCCACCCTCTTTTGGGCACCATGTGTGTCAGCAGCCACTGCTTGGCACTGAAACCCTCTCTTCCAAGTCCATGAGTGCATTTCYTGTGCCAAAACCTCTTTTCTCCAGGAGAGAGAGTGCCAGATGTCCCAAAGCTCAGTCATATTGAGTTCTTCTGAATTCYTGCTACCACCTCAGATGTAGTGATTTCCATTTCCTGTATGTTCCTTCTCTACAAGAATGTTAACTTTGCCTTCACATTTTGTCTTGAAATGAATTAAGTCAAAATAATGACTATACTTCAGGCCATATCCCACTCTCTCGCTCTTTCACCATTGTGTCATAAACTGTCCTCAATGTTTGCTATCTCTTTATTTACAAGAATACATTTTGCACTAATCTCAGAAAACAGGTTATCAGATTCCAAAGAAAATAATGTGGATTTTACAGTTTTTTAAGCAAACTGTGAATATAAGCTAAACCAGTCCAAATTAATCTAAATTAATAATACTTAATTTTCTGGCACTTACGAATTTTGATGCTTAAGAATAGTTTGAGATATAAAATATCCTTCTTTTAATTTATTAAAAGATACAAAATCTCTCCTCCAGGGGGACAGAAGATCTTATTAACCAGTATTTATAGAAATTCTAGATCAGAAAGTTACTGCCTGGAACTGCCCTAATCCTGAGAGGTATTTAGGGGTTGAAGAAGTTTTCAGATGTATCCTGCATGTGCCATCCATCAGGCTTGATTCCTCAGGATCTGCTTGGCCTATTAACTACCTCAGTCTCAATAACCAAAGCCTTTTATAGAATAATAATGTTGCTCAAGCAAGCTGATGTGTTTTAACCATGTGTTTGCCCACCCACTGGTGTATTGCCATTTATCCATGCAGCCATAACTACTACAGCTTATCCAGCACTGATTTATCAGTGATCCTTTTCTTTGAAATCCAGTTTGGAGTAATTTTTCACGTGATAGGAAAAAAAAATGAGACACCTAAAACTGAAGGGCCCCCGCCATGCTTTATTCATAACCAGAGTGCAGGAAAAGGCCAATTCCTCAAACCCAATTTCAGTCGAATTTGATTTATAAATAAAGAGTGGCCAAAAAGAGAATTGAGTGGGGGAAAGGATTTAAAGGGAAGYGAGGGAGCAACATCTCCCCTGAGGGTTGAGATTTCATCTGCTCCTTTTGGCAGATATCTGACAACTGACAAACCCCGGGAAAATAGAGCTGACAGTAAGAAACGGTGAACGCAGCTTGTTAAGCAGAAGACCAAATGACACTGCTGTAATTTGCCAGCATCTATTTAAAGAAGGAGCTACAAGGACTTTGCACAGACCTTGACAGGGGACTCTGGGAGACTGTCAKCCCCCAATTTCCCGTCTGTTCTCTCTAAGAATGTGGCTTCCAAAGGTTGAGATCGCATTAAGTTAAGGGTGTTGAAGGCAGGCAGGGATTAGCACTGTGAGATAGAGGTGGGAGAAGAGCATCTTGCAGTGTGCTGTTGGGGAAAGAGCATGAGGAAAAGGCAAGGCAGCTTTTTAGGAATTTAAGACCTGGTATTCCGCAGATAACCTTCCCTTTCCACCAATATCCAAACCCAGAAAYTCCTCCTGACAATTGGTGGAGGTGGTCTCCAACCCACTACAATGTAACCTCCTGTTACAGCCCTCTTTTCTCCCCCAAATTAAACTTTTATCATTTTTGTCCTTATTTTAATCACTTTTTCCCATTTTTCCCCATGAAAAGAGAGAGTATTTCACCCATAAAAGTAGTGTCCTGCATTCATTTTATTCCCAGAATAAGTGGATGATCTGTCCTCATGTAAGAGCAGGATTTAGTGCATCTCAGTCTAGACAAGTTCCTCTTTTCACTTGAGCAAGATGGTGCCAGGATCCAGGATCCCACTTGCCAGGCATGAATCCTCAGCAGTTGCAGACAGTGCAGAGCCAGAGGTTCCTTTAT